AGTTCCGGTTGGATGTCGTCGCCCCTCCGCTCGGGGTGCAGACGGCGCTTCAGCTGCCGCTGCTGCGGGGACTGCTGCCTCGCAACTCCCCGACTCGCCGAGTGGATCATGATTTGCATCGAGGGTGACGGCCTCGCCCGTCGACAGCTTGTGCAGTTTACTGTCGGTCGCCGTCGTACACTTCATCGTGAGCGCAACCTCGGCGCCCCCTGCAGCGGGTGAAGGACAGCGCCCACCCGGGTAGTTCTCACCGTACAGAGATGCGGCCAAGATGCAGAGGAAGTGCGGGGCGCCAGTGTTTTGGCTCCTCCCGGGAGGCTCGATCGCCTGGGGACACTCCCTCCAAGTGGGCGCCGTCTCGCCGGCAACGCGCCAACGCAACTTCCCCTCAGGTGGTCGGGCACGGCACCTCCACCGGCACTTTCACTGCAGCAGGTGCCGCCCCGAACACAAACGAGGGGGCAGCAGCCGCAGCCGCAGAGCAGCGCGAGGAGCGCCACGGCGCACGGCGCCGCACCGTTGCCTTCATCGCCATCCGTCGCAGTAGCGGTGGTAGTGGGCCGCGGGGCAGCAGGGAAATAAATAAAATAAAGAGAGAGAAACAGGGAAAGATAAGATAAAAAGAGTACCGCGGAGAAAGTGAGAGCAAAAAAGAAAACAGAAGACGGCGGCGGCAGCCCAATGAGCGCACGCGGCGCCCTGCAGCCGCACGGGGAGGAATTTATCCCGCCCCCGGCCCACGCAAATGTCTTTGGGTAGCGCCCCGGATGTAAAAAGAAAATAAAGACTAAAAAGTGAAACCAAAGACAGTACTACTACACTGCGAGGTCACGGGGCACGGTGCTTACTTTTTCTCGCAGCAGGGCAGCTTGCCGGCTATGCCCCGTCCCCGCAGCTAAATAAATACAAACACAAATATATTAAAAAATAAAAAAAGTCCTTTCGAGCACTTCCGTAGAAACGCCCTCCGTTGCTGCATTCCCCCCCACTCACTCCCCCCTGCGCCGCCCAAATCAACGGAACTGCGGCACCGCCGCGCCGCGTGTATCTGTTGCCGCACTGTCTGCGCGCCGCACGCAAACAGCATCCCCCACGAACACCCATCGGCAATAATTTTCCCAACAGTTTAAAATATACACCTCGTCGTTTACTCACCGGGCTGCTGCTTCGCTGTGCCGGCGGTAATGTGATGCGCACCCGCCGCTGCAAACCGCAGCCCAACCAAATTCCCTCCCGGCTGTTTAAAGAAAATAATTTAAATAAAAAGGCGCCCGTCTCT